CTCCAGATTTACACTTAAGGGGCTAAATCATGATTTTTTCCCTTAAAGGTTAAGAAAAAAAAGCAGTTAATGGAGCAGGTCAGCCTCATTAGCCATTACCTAGTGCTTAGTGTTCTCCTTGCGCAAGAGTTTAATCACTAACATACATGTTGAGAAACTAACATATATGAAATAAGAGCCTCCTGACCTTGTTTTTATTACCTTAACCTTTTCTGAAAAGGAGTTTGCACTTTGCATAGGAAACAGAAAGGCTATCTTGCTGTAAGAGGCCAAATTGCAGAAATGGGCTCTGGCTAAGGAATGTGGACACACTGCAGACATCTTGCACAGAGGCCAAGTCTTGCAATGATGTGGTCAGACGTGGTAGAGGCCAGCTGTTTGCTCCGTTGAGAGAGGCTTTCGCCAGTCTACGGGATCTCTGAGGGCTGTGTTTAACTGAATCCAAATATCAAACCTGCTGAGACTCACTCATGCCCCAGGGTGTTTGGAGTTGGGTTCTTGCAGAGCACAATATTGAAAGTAACTGGTAAAAGAAATTACAGATAAAGACTTAGCATTTTAAAAAAATGTAACATACAGTGGTGAAGTGGAATATAAATGTATTTTCCCTCTTTCCCCTATAGACTATTGGAATACAGCTAAAAACAATTTATGCTGGCTGGGTGTGGTGCCTCACACTTTGGGAGGCAGAGGCGGGTGGATCACGAGGTCAGGAGTTCGAGACCAGCCTGGGCAGTATGGTGAAACCCTTGTCTCTACTAAAAATACAAAAATTAGCTGGGCATGGTGGCGCATGCCTGTAGTCCCAGCTACTCGGGAGGCTGAGGCAGAAGAATCTATTGAACCCAGGAGGTGGAGGTTGCAGTGAGCTGAGATCACGCCACTGCACTCCAGCCTGGGCGACAGAGCAAGACTCTGTCTCGAAACAGTTTATGCTATGCTTTATCCTTGGTCTGTTGATGGACATTCTGTGATTTGTGTTACTTATGTCACCCTGAATGCTACTGGATGAAATATCATCTTGTCCTCTAAGTACACCTTTGACTTAACATAGGGTCAGGAGAGTGTACTCTAGAGTCAGGCTTCTTGCGTTCAGATCTCCATTACACACGTCTAAGCTATGGGACCTTGGCCAGGTTGTTTAAACTTCTTAAGCAATAGTTTTGTTTTTTTTTTTTAGTGTTAAACTTTATAACAATAAAAATTACCTTGAAGAGTTGCTATGAGGATAAAATAATGTATCTTTAGCACTTAGCAAAGAGTTCTTTCCCCTTTGAATTTTAATTTTTAAAAATTTGTTGAATGTTGTTGCTACTTGCACAGAGCTTTAACTCTGACTTTGTGTGTTTGTGCTGGAGTGATGGGGTTTGGTGGGGATAGCTGACGAGGTGAAAAGAGAAAGAGGTATGGATGCTATACTTTCATTGACCCCAAAGAGTAACTGTATTAAAGATTTACCTTCCCTGTACAAGCATTTTGTATTGAAACCTTATAACTAAATATTTTATTATGGAAATAATCCAGTATGTCTGCTTTAGAGTTTACGTGTTTTAGTTCTTTCCAGCTTCAATAAGACATTCATTTATTTCCAGAATCAGAGCTGTTTTTTTTCTGTGTATAAGTAGAACAAATGTCACGCAGCTTGTTTGAACGAGTTCTATTCGTTTACAGTGTCTCAAGACCAAAAGCAGCAGAGGAGAAATCTTATATGTTTCTAATGCTTTGCATTGAGCCATACCGCATAGCATTTAGATTGATTTAAGAATGAATGGCAACACAATTAAAACAATCATTGTCATTTGAAGGTATTGGTTGAAATAACTGAAATTATGTAACATATTACTTGTGAATGATAAAGTTTTAAAATTCATAGAAAGTCAGAGGATGCAAATAAAATAAGTCCAATCCAAAATTATAAAGAACCTTAAGAAATACAGTGAAATGAAAATGTGATGCATTAATGAAAGGGAATGGTGAATAAATGAAACAAGAAGTATCCTGTTTCAAAGATAAGATGTTCATATTCAAAAGTAGAGTTATTGTTTTAAGTGAAAGATGATGATGGAAATAGAAAAGCATATATTTTAAAATGAACAGTTGTGGATGAATATTAGATAAGAAAGCAAGAGAACTCTGTCTCTGCCTCCCCAGGTTCTCATCTCTTAAGGTGACTAGGTCGAAACATTTCTGTTTTTTCTTCTTCTCATATCCATCTCCATAACACCATCTACCATGTTTGTACCTCTGTGTCGAGATTTAAACGGTACCCATTGGTTTCTTGCTTTGAAAGACGGAGACTTAGTTCACTAAAGTATCGGTACCCTTTTTCTCTCTTCTTCTTCACAACTTTTAAATATAGCTGTAGTATAACTTTTCTTTATTGGGTATTTGAAAACACAGTGTAATATAGAGAAGACTCTGTTTCTAGGATCGGCTGCTTTATTGACTGCCACACTTTCCCTCCCAGATTGTTTCCCGAGTTATGTCATCTGTCCCATTACTTCTACCCTTGTGAAGGTTTACAACATTTACATTTTCTTTTGTAACTATAGTAAATTGTAAAATCTTCCATGTTTTGGCTGTAGATTGATTCTAAACATTAAAAAAAGAACGTTTATATTATCGTGCTTTTTCAAATACCTTGGAAAATCCTTAGAATATTTGGCTTCGTAGGACTGAAATAGTTATTCTGGACCCTTTGTTTCTGAGCTTCTTCATCTTGTATGTGTGTTACGACATACATATTTTTGCCAGACACTATGTCTGTGACATATTATGTCAGCCAATGTATGATTGTAATTAAAAAAAAAAAAAACATTATGTCAACCACAGGACACCCTGCAAAGGCTCAGGGGTGCTCTGACAGTATTCCAGGATTTCGTAGGGATTGGACTATCTCAGCGGAGCTGTTCTAATGGGCTGTTCCTGGAGAAGGTTTGAGGTGGTTGACTTTGACCTGGATTGTCATTTCAAATCGAGAGAACTTTTATAATAAAAGTTTGGAAGGCCGAGTGTTCCCCTCTACCCCAGCTGTCTACCCTGACTTCCTCTCTCATTTTCCTTTCTGAGAATTTGAATTTCCCCAGGAACTTCTGGACACTGAAGTTTCAGGCATTACTTTGTCATGGAGGGACAAAGGGTTGAGAGCCTTTGACTTAAAATTCTCCATAACATCTTTCTTCCTTTATTCCTTATGGTTCCATTGGTTGAGTAACCTAGGTCAGAAGATGATTCCATCAGGATGATAATGCTGCATTGTATGTTCATCGCCTTTTTCATATATGAAGCTTTCATGTCCATTATTTGACACATATACACACAAGGGAGACATTTCATTATGCCATTGTACACAGAAATATACTGAGCTCACACAGCCTCTAGCATCATGCACATATTTCGCCTCTATCCAATCATTTCCTCTCTATCCTCAGAGAAGGCCTGGGCTGCTGGGTATAGAGTTAGGGCCCTTTCCTTGGCTCCTCCAGCTTTCTTCCTAATTCCCTTTCTGACCTCGGCATCTGTCAGTGTGAAGTATGCATGGTGCCCTGCAGGGTGTTCCAGATTTTCTGGAGAAACAAAAGGGGTAAAGGACATAGCAAAGACCTTACGTTGGTTCCCAAACCAGCATGATGCTGAAGTAGTGAGTTCAGAGGAAATGTGGGAGGGCTCTGTACTGTGTCATATGGTCTCCATATACAAAGAGAATGTGGGAGTGCACCCTAACTGAAAACACATTTTAGCTATACAGTTGTTTTTAAAGGTTTATGCTTTTGGGATTACAGTGTTTATACCTGTAAGCTTTGGAATTGCTCCTAGTTTGTGTGAAATTGATTGTAAAACATTTGACCTTCCTTATGAGCCCCTGATCACCAGCAACTAGCATCAATGCTTAGGCCCTCAGGATGTGGCAAAGTAAAACTAATGGTTGCTTCTTCTAGGTCTCTGTGTATTATAGTCTCTGTCTTAGTTTCCACTGTAGAAGTCACTGGATCCTTACTCTGTTGCTCCCTGAAATTGTTAAATGTGGATCATCTGGATTCTGAATGGAGTTTCTGTTCCAGGACATGTGATGAACTGTCTGTAAACAAGAAACCCAGAGTGACACTGATTTTATTTTCTTGTAACTGCTGGTATCAAGTGTGTTTCCAAACTTTTTTTTTTTGAGACAGAGTCTTACTTTGTCGCCCAGGCTGGAGTGCAGTGGTACGATCTCAGCTCACTGCAGCCTCCGCCTCCCGGATTCAAGCGATTCTCGTGCCTCAGCCCCCTAAGTAGCTGGGAATATAGGCACATGCCAGCACACCAAACTAATTTTTGTGTTTTTGGTAGAGATGGGGTTTCATCATGTTGGCCAGGCTGGTCTTGAACTCCTGACCTCAAGTGACCTGCCCGCCTCGGCTTCCCAAAGTGCTGGGATTACAGGCATGAGCCACTGCACCTGGCCTGCTTCCAAACTTTTGCTAAATAAATATTTACAGGTTTTGGCCTTTATTTTTTCTGACTCATGTCAGAGTTTGCATTCCTGTAATTTTAGTGAAAGGAAGAATGTGTAAAATTATAGAGGTGAGATGGGCCATAGGGGGGGAAATATATGTATATATATATGGCTTCAAAGAGTAGAAACGTAAAGTGTTACATGCATGAGATTTTATTACAACCTTTCTTAACCATATCGGTAAGAAATTTATTGTTTAAGTTTATTGTCTAATTTAAGACTTGTATGGCTTCATGAATTGTGACAGAATGTGCTACATTTTGTAGCTCTGGTTTTTATTTCCCTGATGGGCCAATGCATAGGTAATATTAAGGGATGTCCCTGTTAATATCACTATGTTAGTGTCCTAAGCTACCAACCCAGCATTGAGTCTCATGAGTTTGCTTTATCTGTCTGCCAGGATTCACCTTGCTTTTATAACTCAGGGATTTTTTTTTCCCCTTTGGCCATCTCTTCCTCTTCTTCTTCTTTTTTTAAATATGGAATTCTTCTGTTTTTGTTTTAGACCCAATGTCTGTGGATCACGTTATAATGCTTACTGTTGCCCTGGATGGAAAACCTTACCTGGCGGAAATCAGTGTATTGTCCGTAAGTAAATAGAACACCTGTCATTCTGCATGTCCTTCTTTTGTTGTGTTGGTTGCATGGGGAGCCTTAGAATGTGGCCCTTTGTAACTGTACTATTAATCTGTTTATAGTAGAGCCTTCCAGCTTTAAGACTTTTCTGCCTTTCCAGTTTGGGAAATACATCAACTTAGTCAAACCCCTCTCAAAGTTTAGTCACAGGGATACTTTGCTTGAGATTGTGTCATTTACATGTGTTGTACCTGGCTACATAGACTAATTACTTTGATGGGAGTTTGAATGAAAGAGTCTTATTGCTGGTTTTCTTATTGTAATTTCTAACTTTGCTGGCCACCCACAGGCCTAACCAAACCCTGTACATTGAATTTGGGTGATTGAGGGGCCAAGATCAGACCTGACTCCTAGATAGAAGGGAAAGGGAGGAGATAGAGCACCAGGCAAAGATCAGTGGCAAGACTAAGAAACATCTCAAATGATAACAGAGGTTCCTCTATTGAATTGTGCTGGCAAGGCCAACCTCCAGATTTCCCCAATATCCCACAAATGTTGATTGACAAATCACATGCCAGACAAGGTGTTATTTAATGGAGACACCAAAGTCAACTTTAGTCATGATGTCTGCCCTTCATGAGCTTTTACAGTTGTTGGACCTGTGAAATAATGTCCAGTTTTCAGAAAACGCCATTAGTATAATGGAGAAATTTAGAGCTGAAGGGACATTAAAGAATCACTTAGTTCACCTTCTCACTTGGCTGACAGTGGTCAGTGGAGAATAGACTATATTGGCCAATATTTGCTTCACGACCTGAAGAAGCTTAACTCTTTCTCAATTCTTGATTTTGACCAGAAAGCTTCTCCTTTATTTGACACACTATGGTTTAAGACCAAAACTGGATCATTAAAAGAGAAATATAATGGTGTTTGGATTTTCTCAATGAACTTTATAATAGAACCCTTTCCTCGCCTTCTGTAGAGTTCTCTGAGAAATGATGTCTTCAGGTATTTAAATAAATGTTTATTGGATCCTTTGACAGTTTGTTTCTTAGCCATTTCCAGTTTCCATCCTAAACTCTTTGGATGTTTGAATGCACTTTCTATCAAGTGTAGTCTTTTAGCTTTGCATGTCACGTGTGCACTTGCAAGACTGTGCAGGAGCTTGAGGAAAAGATCATGCCTGTCATGACAAAAAGTAGTGACCAAGTCCTAGTCTGCTGATAAATATCAATCATATGCCATTTAAACTTACTGTTGTGGCCACTAGCAGAGCATTTGGTACCAGCATGATATTAGTCTCTGGGTGGTGTGCAAATGTTAATATTTCTCTAAAGGATGAATGGCTTCCTGACTGTAGAATCAGTACTCTGGCGGTAGATTCCAGCGTTCTTCTCTCAGACTGTTGATGGAATTCAGAACAGGATAAAAATTAAACAATAAACATTTACAATAGGCTGGGCACGGTGGCTCATGCCTGTAATCCCAGCACTCTGGGAGGCCGAGGCAGGCAGATCACGAGGTCAGGAGATCGAGACCATCCTGGCTAACACGGTGAAACCCCATCTCTACTAAAAATACAAAAAATCAGCTGGGCGTGGTGGCACGTGCCTGTAGTCCCAGCTACTCGGGAGGCTGAGGTAGGAGAATGGCGTGAACCCAGGAGGCAGAGCTTGCAATGAACCGAGATCGCGCCACTGCACTCCAGCCTAGGCGACAAAGCGAGACTCCGTCTCAAAAAAACAAAACAAAACAAAACAAAACAAGAAAACATTTACAATAAAATTGGCTCCCAAAAGTAACAATGTAATTTTCATATCATTAAATCTTAGAGTTAATATATTTCTTGTGATCATACAAATATGTTTAGATGCAGAATTTTAATTTGTTTGTTTGGTTTTCTCGTCATAGCCTGTTCTGGGCTTTTGATGGATTAAGTGCTGTGGACTAAGCAAAGAGAAGTTGAGAACCACCGTTATTGGATAAAGGAGTTGTGGATTTTAAAGCCAGAGTTTATTTAGTTCAATAGACTTGTTTTGAAAATGAGTACACCTGAGGCTTAAGGTCATATAAGTCATGATAGCAAAGTTCGTGAGGGACCTGAGAACCCAGGTTTCCTCATTTGAGGATCGGTCCCCTATAACAAATCGTGTTCTAAATCCATGTGCTAACAGGCCTCTGGTTTTATTCACAGCCATTTGCCGGCATTCCTGTGGGGATGGATTTTGTTCGAGGCCAAATATGTGCACTTGCCCATCTGGTCAGATAGCTCCTTCCTGTGGCTCCAGATCCAGTAAGTCTAACATGTCATTATATATAATATTATTTTATGTGGTTACACCCCATTTTCTCCTAAATTTGATTTTGGCTTTCCTCTTTCCTGCAATACATTTTTTCACTAGAACATCTGCCTTCTCTGTTCTGCCCAAAATACTTGGACAGGCTTTCCTTCATCTGGCCTCTCATTTCCCTGCTTTACTCTTTATAGGAAAATTACCTATGGGGCATAGTTACTGTGAATAGGATAAGCTTATGGCCTTTTATGTAGGTATTGCCTTATTCATCTTTGTATCTCCAATGTAAACACCATAAAAGGTGCTCAATGAAATGGCTGTTTAATGAACGTTTTTGGCTCAAGAAATCTAGGCATTCTTCCTTGTGGTACTGAAATATGAATCTGATTAAAAACTTATTTAAGACTCAAGACCCCTGCTTTACAAGAAGAAAATGTAAGAAGTCATCATGGAAGTTTCTGGGGGTGATTTATAATGAAGCATAAACATATTTTTCCTTTCAGAATTTTGCCACTTTCTGTGATGCCAGAGGAATATCCACAGTTCATTCTTCAGAGCCTTTGCTTGCTTATTCTATTGTTTTTCTTTTGGGGGTTTGGGCAAGTGAGTCATCATTGGTTGTTTAAAAAGCTGAAGTTCTTGTTTCTGTAAACAGCCCCTCAAAACTTTGACTGTCCCCATGGCAAAATACGTAGGTCCCTTTTCCATTTCTTTTTTTTTTTTTTTTTTTTCTGGTGAGAAAATGCACCCCGCTTGTTGTGTGTCCTATTTTGACAGAGTTTTAAAGAGAAACATTGTGGAATCAGTGCATTCTCTTTTGTTTACTGCAAGTAGAGACTTCAGTGTGTCAAGGCTCATTACCTGTTAAGAGTTCAAACATTTGAGTGTGTCTCTCACAAGCCAATTAACAGGTTAGGGCAAGTTGTCCTGTGTAGCACTCTTGATGCCCTCTCGCCTCCCTTGGCTTCATGGGTGAACACCGGGGACTCTGCCTGAGATCTTTGTATACTTTTCTGGCCAAAGAGCATGCCAGGTCTGCATGCAGGGCAAGCTGGAAGTGCTGGGGGTTAGTGGACCTAGAAGCGACTTTTAACCAACAACAGATGGAGAGTGGTTGGATAAGTGCCTCAGCTTCCTTGCCTCTCAGTTTGGATAACCATGAGGTTCACTCTGCACTGTCTCCTGAAGTTCCCCAGTGGACTGAGCCCTCACTGTTCACAGTGATAATAGATTTGATAATGTACTTTATTAGCTTCCTTCTCTTTTTGTCTCACTTTCACACTCTCCTACGAGTGTTTCCTAGAATTACTTTCAGAACAAACTACTTCCATTTCAATTATTGTCTCAGAATCTGCTTCTGGTGGAGCCTACACAATAACAGCCACCTTTTACTAAATACAGCCAGTTACGATTGGGATAGAAACTCCCCTATGGGCTGTGACTCTTGCTTATTGCACTGAACGTAGCATAGTTTTCCTTGATCTCAGCTTGGTGTGAAACGTGCATCTTCCAAGTAACAGCAGGTTCATTCTACATAGCAAGAGCCCCTGAACTGGAGAAATAGAACAAGGCAGAGAAGCCAGCTGGCAGAACATCTGGGAACATGCGGAACATCTCCATCTCTATAAGGGTGACTTCCAGGCTGCCGCTGAGGCATAAGCATCTCAGGGTTGGAAAAGAAGTGCAGTTATAAAGTTGGGATTAGACCCCATCTCTCAGATTGGTTCCTGAACCAGCTAATATTGCACTCCTCTGGGGGAAGAAATATAGCCAGATAGCAAAACTGGGTATTAAGCTGGGAAAGTCTTCAAAGATAGTGTGAACTGGTAATGACTTCTCTATTGAGTAGAAATCATGAGATGTGGAGCTAGGATGTTAATAAGACCAGACGGAAAAGCCGTGGTCCTGGTAGAGTCCAAGTTAACTGTGGGATGTGACGAGTATAGTAGTAAGGTCCTGAGGCCAGATTTAGTCTAGAGACTAAAATCCAAGACTGTGGGTGGTGCTTTCTGAGGAAGTCTGAGTCATATCTATGGTACCTGGACGTTGGACAAACTCCCCAAGTAGCTTGTGGATGAGGTTAGTGTAAGGAGGAGGTTCTGGTTTCAACAGGATCTTTGGGGGTACTTGAAATCTTTAAAATTGTTGACTTTGATTCTCTCTGCACTAATATTGTCTAAATGACTTGCAAAATTAAAGATGGCAAAATATTTTAAATTAAGGGTAGCTGGGGATGATCATAATTCATTTCTCATCTTTTGGAGTGATGTTCTAGGGAACAGCTGCGCCATTCCAAAGAACATCCTGATCACTTTGCTAACTTTCCTGCTAATAGAAGGACAGTTCTACTCAGTGAAATGTTTGCATTCACTACGTGTGGTTCTACTAAAAAGGGTCAATTTAGATCACTGCACCAGTTTTTCCTATGAAAAATTTTGTACTTGTTATATGATAGGGATCAAGGAGGTCCAGGCAAGTCATGGGACCTCAGAGAGCCTTAGTTTTCCCACTTGAATATGAACAAAATGAAAGAAGTGTTGTTCTTTCAGGTGGTTTTTGACATGAGTGTCCTGTGACTCTGAGAATAGAAAATGATCTCTTAGTGACCTGAATGAGAGATTGCATTTCCAGAAGGTTCAAAGTACCAGCCAGTGATTCTCTTGGTCAACAGGAAGCTGTGGCTTCCCTTAGTGTTGGTGGAACTCTTGACACTCGTCATTCAGCACCAGGGCAAAAAGAATGATTAGCTAGACAGGGTCAAAACAGTAGTTTTTCTAGACTTTAATTCCAACCCTCTTTAGGACTGTTCTTTACTGTGTCAGTCTCTGAGGCTGGAGATGGTTTTGGAGATCCTAATTGTCATAAAGACCTATCATGGTTTACTGATGTATGAATTTACTCATTCTTCTAATATGCGTATACACACATACAAATATATAGTAGCTTGTAACACTGGGATTAATAAACTCTATAACTTTATATATATATTAGTCAGTTTGGGCTGCTATAACAAAATACTATAGACTGGGTAATTTATAAACAACAAAAATGTATTTTTTTACAGTTCTAGAGGCTGGGAAGTCCAAGATCAAGAGGCCAGGTGAAGTCCTGTTCCTCCTAGATGGTGCTTTCTGTGTGTCCTTACATGGCAGAGGGGGCAAACATGTCTCTCAGGCCTTTTTTTTATAAGGATACTAATCCTTTCATGAGAGCTCTGCCTGCATGATTAATCACCTTCCCAAAGGCCCCACTGCTCCCTACTCTCCCATTAGGGACTAAGTTTCAACATATAAATTTTGTGGAGACACAAACATATTGTATGTATACATATGTTATTCTCTAATTATATATATAATTATATATGATACATTATAAAAGTTATTTCCTGTAGTTTATATTTTATGATTTTGTATTTTCTATTTTGTAATTCCTATAGTTTGTATTTTATAATTTTGGAATCTTCTAATTCTGTTTTACTCTCTACACTTTTTTAAAGAATGCGAAAAATTAAACTTCATATTTTGAGATAATTGTAGATTTGCAAACAGTTGTCTTAATCTGTTTTCTGCTGCTGTAACAGTATACCACAGACTGGATAACTTATAAACAACAAAAGTTTATTTGGCTCGTGGTTCTGGAGGCTGGGAAGTCCCAGAGCATGACACCAATGTCTGTTGAGAGCCATCCCATGGTGGAAGGTATCACATGGGGAGCAAGTATGAGAGACAGACAGAAAATGCGCTGAACTCCCGACATAACCAACCCACTCCCTAGATAATGGCGTAAATCCCTTTATGAGGGCAAAGCCCTCATGACCTTATCACATCTTAAAGGTTCCACCTCTTAATACCATCACAATGATAATTAATTTTCAACATGAGTTTTGAAAGGAAAATTCCAACTATGGCATTTGTAAGAAATAATTCAGAAATATCCTGGGTATTCTTTATTTAGTTTTCCCCATGTTGACATCTTGCAGGACTATAGTACAACAGCACAACCAGGATATCACAAAATTGATACAGTCAAGATACAGAACATTTCCATCACCACAAAGAGCGCTCATGTTATGCTTTTATTGTCGTTTTCTTCCCAACCTAATTCTCTCTTTAATTCTGACAACCACTAATCTCTTTTGCGTTTCTATAATTTTATCATTTCACAAATGTTATATAAATGGAATCACATAGTATATAACCTTTTGGAAGTGGCTTTTTTCGCTCATCAGGATTCTCTGGAGAGTCATCTAGGTTGTTGCAGTATCAATAGTTTGTTATTTTTGATTGCTGAGTGGTAGTGCATGCTACGGATGTACTACAGGTTAGTTTGGCCATTCATCTATTGAAGGGCATCTGAATTGTCATCGTTTTTTTTTCTCTTTATCATTTGAACTAAGCTGCTATGAACATTTGTGTACAAGGTTGTGGTGTGAACACCAATCTTGTGTTCTCTGGAATAAATGCTCAGAAATGCAATTTCTAGGTTGTATGATAGTTTCGTGTTTAGCATTTTAAGAACTATTAAACTGTTTTTGGAATCGCTGTATGTACCATTTTGCATTCTCACCAGCAGTGTATGAATGACCCAGTTTCTCTGCATCCTTACCAGCATTTTGTGTTATCTTTATTTTTAATTTTAGCTATTCTGATTGCTGTGTCATCATCTCTTACTGTGGTTTCAATTTGCGTTCCCCTACTGGATAATGATGTCAAACATCTTTTTATGTGCTTATTACCACCTGTATATCTTTTTCAGTGAAAAGTCTCTTTATGTCTTTTGTCTAGCTTCTTATTTTTAATTTAAAAAAATATTTAGACGGGGTCTTACTCTGTCACCTAGGTTGGAGTACAGTGGCACAATCTCGGCTCACTGCAACCTCCGTCTCCCAGGCTCAAGTTATACTCCCACTTCAGCCTCCTGAGTAGCTGGAACCACAGGGGCGCACCACCATGCCCCACTAAGTTTTTTGTATTTTTGGTAGAGACAGAGTTTTTCCATG